GAAGCAGAAAAAAATTTGTTTTTTTCTGTGTCGTGAACAGCGCGGTGGGGTGGGGGGAAAGAAGAGGTGAATTGATTTGTCTATGCGCTGCTGTGGTGGGGACGCGAGGGGAGGGTGAAAAGAGGGTAGACTGAAGTGAAACGAGAGGCCCCTTACATACGTGGTGGTTTGCACCGTCCTTCTTGATTATTTTTTTTTTCTCTTTCTTTCAGTTTACCCGTTTGCGCAGGCGGCGACAAAACGCCTTTGCGCCGCGAGATTATGGTGGACAAGAAAGAAGAAAAAAAAAAATGATAATAAATAAATAACAAACCGACACGTGGAGGGTTTGCCGGAGAACAGTCACGGATTGCTCTCAGTAGCCAGTGGCCGCCGCCACAAACACACATTGGGACAGGGAGCACAGCGAGGTGAGGAGCGGTGTTATTGACGATGCCCACGTGGTCGCCAGTTCAACCGGATAAAAAGTGGCAAATGATGGAAATTTATCCGAGCGAGTGTCTTTTTTACTTCTATCGGTTCGTGGGTGTGTATAACATGCACATTGTTCTTTCTTTTTTTTTTTTTTTGGGTTTGTTTTTGCCGTTGCTTCGGCGGCGGCGGCGGTGTGTATTGATAAAGTGCGGTGATGTGCCAACTCGCATATTTATAATTGGAAATTTATTTATTCTCCAACTTTTATGATGCGTGTAGGCGTCATATTACATTCATATGTTTTTTTGTTTTTTTTTTACCTCTCCAATTATTGTTGCTGTTGTCGCTGGCATCCTGTTTTTTTTTTTTTTTTTTTTTTTTTCTTTTACTCACAGTCATACACAAAGTTTTTTTTTTTGTTTTTTATTATTATTTATTTATATTTTTTTTTTTCGTGTGTGTGGGTGTGTGGTACGGCGGCAAAATGTACGCTGCGCACAAAAAGGATATCAATCGCCACAAGAGCTTTCACCCGCTGACGTACCGCAACCTGAGCAAAGTGGAGCAACGACAGCAGGAGGAGGAGGCAAAGAAGAAGTCGGCCAAAGAGCGTAAAGAAGAACTGAGGCATGACCAGGAGCAGCGCCGGTATGACGATCTCATCCTCGCGGCCTCTGCCGATAGCGTTAGCGGCCAGCTAGCAAAGTTCCGTCAGGTGGAGAATATATTTGCTGCTGAAGGGAAAAAAGCGAACGCCAGCAGTTCCGCCCCGTCTGTTAAGGATGAATTGGCGAGCATTGCATCGCCTCTCGTGAGGAGTGGTGCGCTCGCCTTCAAGAAGGAGGACACAGAACACGACGGCGATGAAAAGACGGAAGGACGCAAACGAGGGCGTGAAGTTGCTGTTGGCCTGCCGGTGGGTGGTGACGGCAGTGCTGTGGATGGGCCAAGGGAGGGTAAGAAGACTGTGACAGGGTTTATTTCAACGAGTAACGCGGCGCAATTGCGGAAGGAATTGGACAAATTGCAGAAGGAACGACATGACCCTCTCCGGCGCATTGAGCAGTTCCAGAACCACACCGTTGCAGCAGAGGCGAAACGCCGGGAGCTCGGGACGGGAGCGGCTCTTGTGTCTAATAGTGTAGACACGGAGAAGGATGCCATACGCAGCCGCATTCAAGAACTAATACAAATGAAAAGGCAAAAATGATTTTTTCCCCCAGTTATACAAGAGAAGGGAACAAGGCACTCGCTGAAACACACCCATAGAAGATGAAAAAGGAAATAAAAAGGTGGTATGAGAGAGCCTGAGGGAGTGAGTGATGGGGTGAAGGCATCAGGGAGCCCACACCTCGCTTTGGAATGTGTGCTGTGATGTGTGTGTGCTGCGTGTAATGGTGTGTATGTGTGTATGCGTGCATTTGTTTATGTGTGTATGTGTTTTGTCGTTTTTGTTGCCCTCTATGAAAAGAGCGCACTAAAACGTGAGGAGAGCCGCCCGAGGGCTAAATGTGATGAAGACTGCCCGTCCATTTCTCGCTGTATCCCCACCTTCCACCTCCCCCCTTTGCTCTCTGAATACACCCACGAATGCTGCCGTCCTTGTTGCCATTGGCTTTCCGTACAAAGGAAGAGGAGGAATTAGCGAGAGGAAGAAAAAAACGACAAAAAAGGGGGCATTCAATAAGAAAGGAAAGATAATAAAATACAACAGAAACACACGCATACATCTAATAAAAATTAAAGGGTGTTTGCGGGGGAAAACAGACCGAATAAAAAAGAAGAAAGGCGGGAAGGTGACATCATGCCAACTCTTGCCGTTGCACGCGATTACTTGTTTCACCTCATGGGGAAAAAGTACACGGAGGAGCAGTTTGAAGATGTGTGCTTTGAGTTTGGGGTTGAACTTGACGATGTCACAAGTGAACGCGAGATGTTCAGCCGTGAACAGGGGATGGTAGGGGGCACGAATTTGGAAGAACTCTCCGACGAGGTTATTTACAAGATTGACACCCCCGCCAACCGCTACGACCTGCAGTGTGCGGAGGGAATGGCAGTGGCGCTGAAGGTGTTTCTCGGGTTGATGCGGGCTCCCGCTTTCAAGGTGCTGAACCGATGCAGCCCATTATACAGGATGACCGTGGATAAATCCGTGCGGAATGTCCGTGACTATGTTGTCTGCGCCGTGCTAAAGAACATCCGCCTTAACGAGCGCAGCTACCGCAGCTTCATTGATTTCCAGGAGAAACTGCATTCTGGACTCGCCCGTCGTCGCACCCTGGCTTCTGTGGGGACACACGACCTGGACAAGATTGGGGACAACAACTTCATTTACACGTTAAAACCAAAGGAATCCATTCGCTTTGTTCCACTGAACCAACGCGGTCGCATGCTCGATTGCGCCGGAGATGGTCTAGCAGAGTTCTACAAGGACGATCGACAAATCTCGAAGTATGTCCCGCTCATTTCGGGCCTTAGCCATTATCCAGTTATCATGGACCGTGAGAAACAAAGCATCCTCTCGCTTCCACCCATCATTAACTCTGATTTTTCATGCATCAGCCAGGAGACCAAAAACATCTTCATAGAATGCACCGCACCCGATCACTACAAGGCAAATGTACTGGTGAACCAGATCGTGTGTGCCTTCTCAACGTATTGTGAAGAGCCCTTTACGGTCGAAGCGGTGCGGGTGGAATATGAGGAAGCGACACCGGACGGCACGACAGTGGAAGTGACGCCCAACTTGGACTCTGCTGTCATACCCGTAAATATTCCAAAGGTGGAACGGCTTATCGGCATCAAGTTGGACTCTCCGCAGCACTGTGGTCAACTTCTCGAGCGTATGCTGCATCGCGTTGCCAAGATGGAGGGTGACAACATCTTCGTTGAGGTTCCTGCGACCCGACCAGATGTGCTTGGGCCAACGGATCTCATGGAAGATGTTGCCATTGCCTATGGTTATGATAACATCAAATATGTTGAATGCACCACTCGAGGTAAAGTGACACAGCAGCCACTCAGTAAGTTGTCTCATTTATTGCGGATTGAGATGGCAAATGCAGGATACACCGAACTTTTAACTTTTTCTTTGTGCTCCCGAGATGAGGCATTTGCTCATCTGAACCGTGAGGATGACGATGTTGCGGTGCACATCGCCAACCCACGAACGATGGAATTCCAAATCTGTCGTCCATCCCTGATGCCAGGTATTCTCAAAACACTCCATGCAAACAAGTCGCATCCGTTGCCGTTGCGCTTCTTTGAATGTGCAGATGTGGTGCTCATAGACAATGAGAAGAACTTTCCGCCTCTTATCCGGCCACATTCCGAGTACCCAAATTGCGGCGCATGCAACCAACGTCATGTTGCCGCCCTGCATTGCTGTAGTGAAAACAGTGGCTTTGAAGACATTCATGGCTTGGTTGAGTTTATCATGAAAAAACTTGGCATTTCGCGAAAGGGAGACCAGAACGCCGAGGCTGAAGAAGACACATACACATTGGAAAGAGGAACTGATGGTGCCTTTTTCCCTGGAAGATGCATGGATATTTTCTTGCACCGCAAGGATCAAAAAGTGTGCCTAGGAGGCTTCGGTGTTGTCCACCCGAACACACTACGGGCGTATGATATTCCCTTTCCGTGCTCATACATGGAGATAAATATCCAGTTTGCCCAGTAACGGAAAGAAGAAAAAGGTGAATAGGGAACGCGTGGAAAGCGTCTGATGAAAGGGAACAGTGAAGTTGTAAGCGTAATTTTAATGATTTCTTCCTCCAGATGAGGTAAGAGGCTTCTCTTTTCTTCTTTTTTTTTTTTTTTTGTGTTTGTGTGTGTACTTGTGTGCGTTCCTGTCCTTCTGGTGGAGGGTGCGGTGAGGAGAGGGAGCGCTCAACAACGGCCCGGAACATAAACGACAGGAAACGCGGACAAAAATCATAGCGGATGATAATTAACGTTTTGTGTGGGTGAGTTTTATCATTGAATAAAAATGCAGGCGTACTTTGGGCTGCGGAGACCCCCGAGGTGACTGTGAAGAAGGGGAAGAAGAAAAAAAGGGCAATAAAAGAAGTCCCGTTGCCCCCCCGCTTTGTGTCATCATCGCTCTTAATTTCATTAAATATATGTTTATATATTTCTCTGTTGTTTTGCCTGCATCTTTGTTTCTCTTTTCATCCCAATTTTGTTTGCTTTCTTTTTTTTGCGTGTCTTCAGTGTATTTTTAGGTCTTTGTACTTGCAGCGTCCGTGCAAGCCGGTGGGCGCAGGTACTTTTTTTTTGGTGTGTTTGTGTGTGTGTGTGTGTTGTTGTTTGTTGTTGTTGTTTTTGATACTCAAAAAAAAAAAAACGAAGGAGAAAACAAGTTCTTTTTTTTGGGGGGGTTGGAGGAGGAGAGAGAGATTTCTCTGCGAGAGGCGAGCAGAGACACATCGGCATCTTAAGATTAAAAAATAATTAGACGCGTTTATTATTCTGATTTGTGCCTTTCTCTTGGTCGCTGTTTCCTTGTTGTTGTTGTTGTTGTTTTCTTGTGTGTTTTTGTCCGTGTGTCCGTGTTTGTCTCCCTGTCCGTGGCTCCTGGGGACATGTCAGCTCCATACAAGAAGAAGAACACACAAAACGTGCCTTGCATTTACTTCAAGAGGGGTGCGTGTACGAATCAGCGCTGTCCATACTTGCACGTGCGTGGGAAGGAGTTGGGCGAGAATGCAGATGCGGCACCGACCGGTAACGGCTCCACAGACGCTGCGACGAATTTGCTGTCAACGATGCTGAAGTTGGTCTTTGAGAAGCAACAACACCGTGTGTATGACGCGTCGTCAGGGATGTTGGACCTGAGCGAGCTGAGAAAATTTCCCGACCTGAAGGATGTTTCAAACTCCATCAACTTTAATACACAGAACTTCTGTCGCGCACTCTGCTCGTCAATAAAATCACTCATTGTCCCACCGCCATCTGCCATGCAGTTAAAGGGAAATGACATCACTTCTTTTTTTCATTTTGCCTCACAGATGGAAAATGCAGGTCTGCACTTGTCGTTGCGGGCACTTTCACTAGAAGCAAATGATATCAAGACAATGGAGGCACTTCAAGGACTTAAAAAGTTCAGCAATTTGCAAGAGTTGGTGCTTGTGGGTAATGCCGTGGCCAGGCGTGACGACTACCGCGCGGAGGTGAAGAAAGCCATGCCGTTTCTCCTCGGACTGGATGGGGAAGCCATCATGGCGCCGCCACTGTCACTGCCATGGCCACGGTTTACAAATTCAGATTACACAGACGCACAGCAGCATGTGCTTCAGTTTGTGCAGTGCTCATTGTTGAATCCACTGCAGGCAGGGG